GGGTGTGATGCCATCGCCCGGCAGACCTAGCAGTTGGCAATGTCCTCGCTGAGGATTACCTCGCAGTCCACCCTAGGGGCCAACAAGCAGAGAGCCGACCACCTGCTCATGACTCACAGGGGGCCTCTCAGATGTCAGGGGTGGAGTGTTGGAGGTGCGGGCGACCCGGACACTACTGGCACAAGTGCCCACCCATGGAGGTCGGCCAGGTGATATGGGTTGCAGGTCCTCCGAAACCCTCCCCTGGTCCAGGAGGGACATACAGCGTTCTGGTAAGGATCCAAGGGGGTGTATACCAGGCAATGCTGGATTCGGGCTGCACGCAGTCCCTAATGTCTGTTGGTTAAACCTCTTCTGAAAAAGCCCAAACTTGATCCGGATGTTTTAGCCAACTATAGACCTATATCTAACCTTCCATTTCTCTCTAAGGTTCTGGAGAAAGCAGTTGCTAAACAGCTGTGTGACTTTCTACAGAGCAATAGTTTATTTGAGGATTTTCAGTCAGGATTTAGAGCTTATCATAGCACAGAGACAGCACTGGAGAAAATGACTAACGACCTCCTTATTGCATCAGACGAAGGACTTGTCTCTGTACTGGTTTTATTAGATCTTAGTGCTGCATTTGATACCATTGACCATCAGATCCTATTGCAGAGACTGGAATATTTCATTGGCATTAAAGGAACCGCTCTAAGCTGGTTTAAGTCCTATTTATCAGATCGATTTCAGTTTGTACATGTTAACAATGAGTCCTCCATGCATGCCAAAGTTAGTCAAGGATCTGTCCTCGGACCAATCCTCTTCACTTTATATATGCTTCCCTTAGGCAATATTATCAGAAAACATTCCATAAGCTTTCATTGTTATGCAGATGATACTCAATTATATCTATCGATCAAGCCAGATGAAACTCATCAGTTAGCTAAACTTCAAATGTGCCTTCAGGATGTTAAAACCTGGATGACCTGTAATTTTCTAATGTTAAACTCAGATAAAACTGAAGTTATTGTTCTGGGCCCCAAGCACCTCTGTGACGCATTATCTAAAGATATAGTTTCCCTTGATGGGATCGCCCTGGCCTCCAGCACCACTGTGAGGAATCTTGGAGTTATCTTTGATCAGGACATGTCGTGTAAGTCTCACATTAAGCAAATTTCAAGGACCGCCTTTTTTCACCTCTATAATATTGCGAAAATCAGGAACATCCTGTCTAAAAATGATGCAGAAAAACTAGTCCATGCATTTGTTACTTCTAGGCTGGATTACTGCAATTCCTTATTATCAGGCTGCTCGAAAAAGTCTGTTAAGACTCTTCAGCTGATCCAGAATGCTGCAGCACGTGTTCTGACAGGAACCAGGAAAAGAGATCATATTTCTCCTGTCTTAGCTTCTTTGCATTGGCTTCCAGTAAAATCCAGAATAGAATTTAAAATCATTCTTCTTACCTACAAAGCTCTTAATGGTCAGGCACCATCTTATCTTAAAGAGCTCATAGTACCTTACTACCCCACCAGAGCTCTGCGCTCCCAGAATGCAGGGCTACTTGTGGTTCCTAGAGTCTTCCAAAGTAGACTTGGAGCCAGAGCGTTCAGCTATCAAGCTCCTCTCCTGTGGAACCAGGTTCCAGTTTGGGTTCAGGAGGCAGACACCATCTCCACATTTAAGAGTAGGCTTAAGACTTTCCTCTTTGATAAAGCTTATAGTTAGGGCTGGCTCAGGTGAGTCCTGAACCATCCCTTAGTTATGCTGCTATAGGCCTAGACTGCCGGGGGATTTCCTATGATGCACTGAGCTCCTCTCTCCTCTACTTTCTCTCCCTCTGTATGCAACCTCATCCCATTATTGCATGTTACTAACACAACTTCTCCCCCTTTCTGGTAGTCTTGTGCTTTCTCGTCCCTCTCCTCTCTCCTCCTATCACTTCCTGCAGGTTTTCTGGCTCTGGAGCTGTGGAGTCTGGATCTGTGGCTGCGGGTCACCTGCTGCCCCCGTGTTCCTGCTCGACACCCTCTACTGCAACGACTATTGTTGCTAGTCTTATTGTTATTATAATCATTAACATTACGACTGTTACCATTAACACTACTATAAATATCTGTACCATTTTTCATTTAGTCTATAGCAACATCACCTTTACTGTCTGTACCTCTGTGTGTATATTGTGTAGGCTGCCTCCTCTCTCTCTCTCTCTCTCTCTCTCTCTCGCTCTCTCTCTCCCTCTCTCTCCTTCACCCCAACCGGTGGAGGCAGATGGCCGCCCACCCTGAGCCATGGTTCTGCTCGAGGTTTCTGCCTCTTAAAAGGAAGTTTTTCCTTGCCTCTGTCGCCTAGTGATTGCTCTTGGTGGGAACTGTTGGGCTTCTGTAAATAGCATCATAGAGTACGGTCTAGACCTACTCTTTTATGAAAAGCGCTGTGAGATAACTGTTGTTGTGATTTGGCGCTATATAAATAAAATTGAATTGAATTGAATTGAATTGAATTGGTGTGCCCTGATGCAGTACAGTCATATACACATTTCGTGTTACTGAGGGACAGGTTGCATAGAGTGAATTGTGACGCTCAGACAGATGGAGATATTACGCAGTTGTTGGTACCCAAGAGCCAGTGTGAAATGTTTTTCCAGGCAGCTCACTATAACCCGATGGCTGGTCATATGGGGTTTGTCAAAACACTAGACCAGATAATGGCCCGATTCTATTGGCCCAGCATTCGGGAAGACGTGCGCTGCTGGTGTCCGTCTTGCCCTGATTTGTGAGCTAGTTAATCCACAGAGTGCCTTTGCACCCATTACCACTCATAGAGGTTCCGTTCGAACGAATTTGTATGGACCTCATCGGGCAATTTCACTGAAGCGCACGGGGATATCGCTTTAAATTGGTCTTAATTGATTATGCAACACGATATCCCAAGGCAGTGCCCATGTGCTCCATCTCAGCAAAGAGTGTGGTGCAGGTATTGTTTCAGGTCATCTCCCGAGTTGGGATCCCAAAAGTCAGGTTCAACACATCCTGGAACTTAGAGCAAAACTCCACACATTAGGGCAGTTGTAACGGGAGAATTTGCTCAGGGCCCATGAGCATCAGCAGCACCCCTACAACACAGGAACTCAGTTAAGACAATTTGCACCGGGAGATTAAGTGCTTCTTCCACCTCCAAATTACTCGGCAGGTGACAAGTACACTTTGTGGTTACATGGCAAGTGGGCGACGTGGATTATGAGGTTGTGCATTCTTATAGAAGAGGAGCCACACCAGAGAGGAGCCACACTATGACTATGATTAAGGAAAGGGATGAGTTGGGGCCTTAGGTTCCAAAGTTGATCAATTCAACCTCACTCCTTTGTGATGACCATCTCACACCGTCCCAGAGAGCAGAGGTTGCCAGGCTGCAGCAGCGTTTTGCTGATGTGTTCTCCCCCCTGCCACGAACCTCATCAAGCACCACATAGAAACCCGCACGGGTGTAACGGTGCTACGCGGCCCTATCGGTTACCTGAACACAAGAGAAAAATAGTTCAGGAGGAATTAAAGGCTATGTTGGATAATAGAAGAGCCCAACAGTGCCTGGTGTAGCCCCACCGTTCTTGTGGTCAAGAAGGATGGGAGCATCCGGTTCTGTGTTGACTATGACTAAGGTGAACGATGTTTCACAGTTTGATGCCTATCCGATGCCCCGGGTCGACGAGTTCTTGGATCAGTTTACAAAACTGGATTTGACCAGGTTACTGGCAGATTCTCACCAGTCACCAGAGGAGGAGAGGAGAAAAAGGCCTTCTTCGGTTTGTTCCAATTTGTCACACTTCCGTTCAGCTTGTTCGGGGCCCAAGCCATTTTCCAGCACCTCATGGATTGGGTGCTGAGTCCCCACGCTGTATATGCCGCCACCTACTTGGATGATGTCATCATCCATAGTGACAGCATGTGCAGCGGGTGGCCGCAGTGCTCGAGTTATTACGGCAGGCAGGGCACACCGGCAGCAAATTGTCACAGCTGCTGTTCATCGACTAATTATGCTCTCCCTCTAAATGCAGTAGTATGCTGGACCTCAGATGGCTGCTGTCTGCCACGACACAAGGTGAGCTAGAGAAGCTATGAGCAGGGTACTGAGTTTATTGTTTGCAGGACTGTGTTAAGGACTGCCCAGGAGACCAGTGAGAGATAGTCGGGAAGCCTGTGGCCGGTCTGTGTGGGAAGTTTATGTTAAGAAGTATGTGTCTGAGTGGCAGCGCGTTAAGAAAGATACTGTTGCAATATGTTCCTGTGTCTATGTCCATACTGAGATTACAAGTAACTAGAGGCTTCTGCTAGAGGTTGTAATTCAAATGAAACATAATCCAAAAGCCAAGGGAACAGAGCACGGGCAGAACACTCAACATGTGACGGGTACGAAAACAAAGACTGAGTTGAACTGACAAAAATTTATATTCGGGCAAATGAGCAGGGAATGAGAGGATACACACTTAGGCAGGCAGAGGGAAGCACAGGTGACACAGATGGGTAATCAGAGCAGACGTAGATAAGAAACAGGGTCAGGAGACAGAGACACAACACAGAGACAGAACCAAACCGGAAATAGGACTGACACTAAACACGGAAGTGACGCAAAACAAAACACAAACCAGTACATGACCACATATAGAAATTACAGAACCCAAACCAGAAAACCAAAATCAAACCACAACAGGCCAAAGCAAGACTAAAACAGGAAGAATACAGAACACAAAACCAAAACCCAACATTATGTCAAGTGAAGTATTCAAAGTCCAGATGGTATCTGCTGTCGCAGGTCCAACTGGATCATTTTATACACATTTCAGTGCAATTAATCCTGACATATTTGGAAGACTTCAGGAGGTTTCAACAACTATTTGTCACACAGCATGTGTATGTGTTCTAATTCATGCATTATGGCTAAACATAATGATATTATAATTTTAATCAAAATAAAGAATTATTACCAAATGACTGAAAAAAGAAAAAGAAAAAGAGTTTCCACACCTTGGTTGGCGTCAAAAATGTTGACGTTCTTGGTGAACTTGGAGCTCTGGTGTCCTCCTCCCTGCCGCAGTCCTCCGAGCAGACACAACCTCCCAGTCGTGTCCCATATCACACCCCCATACGAACGTTTACAAGGCATCATGGGTAGCGTAGTCCAAGAACGCGTCTCTGCGTCATATACCTCAAAGGCCTTCACCGGTCGCTTACACTGACGGCCGCCTAAAAGATTGTATAAAAAGAATATTAATAATTGTAACTTTATAGATGCCCAGAGCGCATATTGAAATTGCGAGAAACAAAGTGAACTAGTCTGTTTTTACCTGCCACGTAGAGTTTGTTGGCCAGCAGATGTATATTGGCATCGTAGCGTGGGGTTGGCATGGGAGGAAGCAGAGCCCAAACGTCCTTTCGAAGGTCGTACTGCTGCAGGATGCTTCGAGGGAGCAGATCAGCACCCATTCCCCCCACAGCCAGAGCCCGGCCGTCTACACACACACACACAAAGAGCCAGAGGTTCCATCTGAGGGTTTTTGTGTATTTATATTGTATCTGATGAGCAATGGAGGCCACCATTTTCATGAAATGCAAGAGTTTATGGATATAGTTCATTCTGTACAACCTTTCCAGAAAATCGGTCGAACCAGCTGATGGAAACACCTCACTACACTTTATTTTATAGAGGGCAAAAAATCTGCAAAGATAGAGTTTGTCACGAGGTAGGAGACTGACAGACACAGGAAGCAGCAGCTGAATAAAAATACAAGTCCACGTCTGGCACTTTGGCACAACACCTCTAGCATAAGAATGGACGTGGGTGAGAGTGTCAACATGAGGGAAAAAACAGCCCAGAAATAGAGCTGAATTTTTATTATGTTTCTCTTTGTTCAAGTTTTTTTATATAAAGCCATTTTCTTCAAATTCTAACATTGATACAACTATGTTATGTAAATAACAAAAAATGTCCTAAATACTTAACTTTGGTGAATAGAAAAGCTTATTACCTGAAGTATAGCATCTAATTTGTGGAAAATAATGATTCTACAAATGTCAATAAAAATGGCATCTTTTAGTCAATCTGACTATCCATTTAAGAATACAGTATTTGTTCTAATTTGGCCCTATCGATCATTTTGTCAGACGACTGGTCTGTTTTTCAGCTGCTGTGGATGACTTTGGGGATGAAAGTGCAACCACAGGCTGAGAGGTGCAGATTGGTCAGGGAGATGGAGAGGGCAGCAAGATGAAGCCTGAGTCTGCGTGTACACAGTATCAATCTGTGTTCCAACAGACACTGACAAATGCACCGCTGCAGCAAACACAAACTCTGGACCCATTCCCTTAAGGTGTCACAGCCCAAAAACTGCTCCACTGACATTAAATAGGATAACTTGACTAAAACACCTTGGTTAAAATGAAAGTGTATTGAACTGTTGGAGAGTTGTTCATGCAGCACATTCAACGTATGAAGTTCAATGCTGAGTACAGTTACTCATCTTCTCTACACTTCCACAGATGCTTAAAAATAAAAAAATACAGTCCCCTCCAAAAGTTTTGGAACGGTAAGGCAAATTCCTTTGTTTTGTTGTTCACTGAAGACATTTGGGTTTAAGATCAAAAGAGGAGTATGAGACAAGAGTTCAGAATTTCAGCTCTCATTTCGTGGTATTCACATCTAGATGTGTTAAACAACTCAGCACATACCACCCTTTGTTTTTTCAAGTGAGCAAAACTATTGGAACATGTGACTGACAGATGTTTCTTGTTGCCCAGGTGTCGCCTTTTAGGTTGATTGTCCAAACATTAAATAGCTCTGTATGACTAGTCTAAGTTTTCATCCTTGGTTCAAATCTATAAAGACTGCATTTCCTGTTAAAGAGGATAAACCAACATGAAGACCAGAGAGCTGTCTATGGGAGAAAAGCAAGCCACTGTCAAGCTGAGAAAAGAAGGAAAATCGAGCAGAGCCATTGGACAAACATTGGGCACAACAAGCACAACAATGTGGAACGTTCTGAAAAGGAAAGAAACTACTGGTGTACTGAGCAACAGACGTCCAACAGGTCGGCCAAGGAAAACAACAGTAGTTGATGACAGAAATATGTAAATGCTCTGTATTTGTATAGCGCCTTTCTAGTCTTTTCGAACACTCAAAGCGCTTTTACACTACATCTGCATTCACCAGTCATACACATTCATACACTGAGCCAAAGTGCTCAAACAGAAACTAACATTCACACTCATTCATCGGGGTTCAGTATCTTGCCCAAGGACACGCAACCAGGGGGAGCCAAGGATTGAACCGCTGACCTTCCGATTAACGGCCAACCTGCTCTAAAAATATGGTGAAAGCTGTGAAGAAAACCCCCAAAACATCAGTAAGTGACATCAGCAACGACCTCCACAGTGCAGAGGTGAAGGTATCACAATCCACTGTTGGATGAAGACTCAGAGAGCAGAAATATAGAGGCTGCACCACAAGATGCAAACCACTCATCAGCAGGAAGAATTGGACTGGCCAGATTGAAATGTGCAAAGAAGTACAGAGATGAGCCGCAAAAGTTCTGGAACACAATCTTATGGACTGATGAGAGCAAAGGGATGGAAAGGCCAAAGTGTGGAGAAAGAAAAGAACTGCTTATGATCATAAGAATACAAGCTCATCTGTGAAGCATGGTGGAGGTAATGTCATGGCGGTGGGCGTGCATGGCTGCTTCTGGAACAGGCTCATTAATATTTATTGATGATGGAACTGATGATGGTAGCAGCAGAATGAATTCAGAAGTGGACAGAAACATTTTGTCTGCCAATTTACAGAAATGCATTGAAACTAATGGGGAGGAAGTTTATCATGCAGCAGGACAATGAGCCAAAGCACACTGCCAACAAAACAAAGGAGAAAAAAGGTTTTAGACTGGCCAAGTCAGTCAGCTGACCTTAACCCAATAGAGCTGCATTTCACCTCCTTACGAGGAGACTGAAGGGAGAAACACGCCGAAACAAACAAGAACGGAAAGAAGCTGCGGTAAAAGCCTGGAATAGCATCACAAATGAAGAATGCAACAGTTTGGTGATGTCGATGGGTTGTAGGCTTGAGGCAGTTATTGCAAGGGTTATGCCATCAAATATTAAATGTTATTTACTTTAAGATTATTTGTACCAATACTTTTGCTCACCTAAGAATGCTGTGGTCTAATACAAACGGTGATATGTCCTGAGTTGTTTAACACATCTAGATGTCAATACCAGAAAATAAAAGCTGAAATTCTGAACTCTTGTCTCATCTTAAACTCAAATGTCTTCAGTGAACAACAAAAACAAAGGGATTGGCCTTACCGTTCCAAAACTTTTGGAGGGGACTGAAGATGTGAGGTTTGTTTTATTAGAGCAAACTAAACTGCAGTTTTTAGCTACAAACATGAGCTCTAACACTCTGTCATGTCCTCCTGTGGCGAACTGTAATTACAGAAAGTTTAATGCACTGCAGTGATTTAGTATTTCACTTCCATAAAGAGGGGAGACTCAAAAAGGACACTTTTAAAAAGATGGTCAAAATCATAGCTGCTACTGCTATCGACTGCTCATTCGAGTGGATAACGTTACACACCCTGTACACCAGGGGTCGGCAAATATTTTTCAAGCCGTTACATGACGGGCCAGAGCAGGGTTCGAGTTATGTTATGAGCTTCATGGGGGTCTCTAATATAGCCTACTAACTAACATTACTAACATTAAATAAATAGGGCTCAATTTAGGGTTATGACGACACACTTGTAGCATGAGAACAAGACAAAAAGATATATTAATAGTATTATGAATAAATATTGAATGCTGAAATATATCAGAGAGGGGGGGTCTGGGGGTCCTCCCCCAGAGATCATTCAACACTTACTTTCCTGCTTTCTGGAGACATTTTCTGCACCAATTTATTGTGGAAATGTCTTTATTTATATGAAGGGAAACAAAATTAAGGTGGCTGGTGACAATTCAAAAGATCTAAAATATAACAGAATTATTTTGTAGGCACAATCACTTAAGGGGAAGTGATTATGAGAGTAATTGTTGCTGTCGTCCATCCATCCATTTCTGCTATCAAAGCAATCTGGCCATGGGCCAGATATTATTGCTGGTGGACCAGTTCTGGCCCGCAGGCCGCCTATTGCCAACCACTGCTGTACGCTAAGCGGAACAAGGGAGCCGAGGACTAGTGAGTGTTAAAACCACTGTCCAGGATGAAAGAACAAAGATCCAGGAGTATATCAGGAAGATGGCCCCCGAAGATCAAGGGCTTAGTGAATACCTCAGGCAGCAGAAACCCGAGGGTGAGGACAAGGCAGATGAAGAACCTTCATGGAGGGACAAGCCCCTGCACGGCATGTACCACAGACAAATAGAAGAAGTGGCTGAAATCAAGAAATCCTACCAGTGGCTGGAAAAGGCTGGACTGAAAGACAGCACAGAAGCACTAATCATGCAGGCAGGAAGTGCTGCAGAAGTCTTTGGACTTCTCTCATGTTTTTGACGCTTGTTTGCCAGCTTCACCATTGGTGTAAGTTTGTTAACTTGGTGCTTGAGCATCATTAAGCTGATGTATTGTACTGTTCAACGTTGCAGCCGTTATTCTCTGACAGCCTGTAACCTACACTGTACATTTACTGCTGAACTTCCCTGCTCACCTCTTCCTCTGCTCCGCTGCATTCACCTGCCGCTCACTCACTCCCGCTCACAAAAGGCTCATTGGCCCCTGCTAGTGGGATAACGCTACAGGACCAGTGAACTCCTCTGCCCCTGTTTGGGAGGATTTGGGGTTTAGTCCTGATGATGAAGGTGAGCCTACCAACAGGACGAAGCTGTGTAACATCATCTCAGTTCATCCCACTGATGCTGCTCTCCACGGCAAGCGTCATCAGGTCCTCCGGCAAGAATCTATAGATTATACTATGGGCCATCAGTATTTAAACCCAGCAAGACCTGTCTGAGCAGGCTCAGTGCGTATTAGATAGCACTGTAGGCGAGACGATGGCATACATGCCACAGTGACTTCTATCACAGCAGCTCAGCTTTTACACACAAACACTGTCATATTCTATATATACCTACTTCAGGAAGGTGTGAAAAAACAGGTACCGCTCATGCCTTATACATACTTATACTTAATATACTAAATATTGTATCATAACTTACTAGCCGCATATTGATGTTCAAAATGACATAAAATGCAAAGAACTTCAAGCTCAATGCAAAGTCAGTAAACCTGTGACACCTCACAGACATGTGAGAGGACCCTACAGATATCCAGTATTATGGTAATATCATACAGCCTGCGAGCTAATGTTATGGATCTTTGTGTTTCCTTCCCACAGACTGCTTTCTTTTTGCATGCACGGTTTGCTGCACTCATAAAATATATTTGTCAGAATCAAAAACACATTTCATGTTTAGGCTTGATATTTGGAACTGGTTGAATAAGTTAATGAAAGAAGGTACTACAACACTTGCTTATTTTAAGCGATTGAGCGAAATGTTTCTGCTGTGATTTTACACAGCTTATTATTTTTAATTAGCTACATGTTTTGGGTCTTATTATTGACACTGTACCATAATGTGCAATATAAAGCCAGCACTAACACTCAAGTGTTCCTGCTTAATATGATGCAGTCCATACCTTTGACAGTGATGGATATACCCATCAAGGCCTCCCGCAGAGCGCTCCTCTTCCTCCACCTCCCTTCCTCTGTGTTGTACATCTCCACCACCTTCAGGGGGTTCTGGTCCTCTCCCACTCCTCCCACCACCAGGATTTGTTTTCCCAGGACAGCAACAGCTGCCCCAGCGCGAGGGGTGGGCATGGGGGGCAAGCTTATCCACCGGTCCCCCTGCAAACAAAGACAAGCAGCTGGATTCAGGCAGAGCCACAAACCATGAGGGATTTTTCAGTTCATCTTTCCTGTCTCAGAGATGTTTCACTGAGGCAAAAGGTGATACTAACAACTTTTCAAACATCAGTATGACGGGCAACTTTCCTGCTGCAGTTTGCAGCACAGCCACCAAAGTCTTCTATGTTTTGAAGGTTGAACTTTTCCTAGGTTTTAGTTTTTCTTTTCTTAATTGGTGCACCTCCTTATTGCCGAGAATTGCTTTATATAAATGGAGCTAGTTTATTTTAATCAGGTGGTTTGTGCTAGTGTCTTCAGGAGTACAGAAATCACAATGGAAATTGACATGTACTGTACAGAGAGAACTTTGCTGCTTCTCTTTTCAGTGCTGTCAGTGCATTAGTGCGTATTTAACATTTCATGGATTAACATTTGAGCGTACATGTGAACGAGCTAGTTCAGATTTCTTTTTAGTAGTGTTAGTATTTTTTATCACTATAAAAAATATGAATTGGTTCTTAAACTTTTTTATTTTGCTTTAATATTTTTTAAGAAACAACTGTTGGTCTGATGACACTATCACAGTACTTCGTCAGTCATGTGGTGTTTCTACTGGTGAAACATCAGATACACTGTCCAAGCAGCAATTGGTTGGTACCTCGGGGGAGTAGAGGTCCAGGGCCGGGCAGGGCCTCCCTGCAGCGTCGCAGCCCCCAAGCATGTACATCTGCCCCCCCACCTCAGACAGAGTGTGGTAGACGCGCCCGCTGGGCAGTCGTGCCAGGCTCTGCCAGTGAAACTCGTGTGCTGAAGGTAGCGCCATACCATGCCAGGGGAGACTCACCGGGGCAGGGAGGGAGCAGGGAGGAGCAGGGCCAGAATCAGGAAAGTTTTGGGGGTGGATTGATCAGGGGGGAGCTGAGAAGATGGAGGTGTGGGAGAGCTGGGAGACCGAAGTCAGGGCCCCAGGGTTAGGGGGAAGTTCTTTATTGGGGAGGTGAAGCGGAGTATCAGATTGGTTAAAGACCAGGCTGAACTCTCCTCTCCTGGTGATGGTCCGCCCCCTCACGCACAGCCCTGAAGATGATACGAGGAGAAAATGGATTAGGCAGTGCAACATACAATATACAGCAGAGCAGAGCATGAAACCCCAAATACATTTTAAAGACTTCAGCAGAGCATTTTCTGTTGAAGACGTTACTACTCAGTAACACCGACAGTGAAGCAAAGATTAGGATGTTTTATGCCTCCTGCACACTAGGCTTTTCAGATCTTAACCCACTTTAAAAACGTGGGATACCTCAGACCAATTTCTAATATTTTAATCTTAAAAGCGTACACACCAGGCAGTTTAATCCAGACGCAGGACCACACTCTTGGCGTTTACACTAAACAGTTTCAGAGTGGCGGTTCTGGGGACTTGGGGTCTCACAGAATCTCGCATGATCAAACGTGACTTCAGACGGAAACAAACATGGTGGCAGACTGGTTGACCTTGTGTGTGCTGTGTTTTGCAGAAGAACAAAAGAAGACTGGATGAACTCGAGGCTGAGAAGAGGAAATCAGCAGGTTTATACATTTTATAGCACAAGCAGATACACAACACGCTGGTGTGGCTTCACAATAATCCTAATGCTTAGTGAACATACTGGATTGCCTTGTCATATAGTGCATGAGACAAAGTGCCATGCTTTTCATGAAAGACTTTCGCAGAATGGTTGATTAGGGTTGGGCGATTTTTACAATGAAAATTCGGGATCGACGATGTCATCGGGTGCGCGTTCGCGCGCACGGGGGGCAGCAGTCATCTTATGTGCATGTGTTCTCGCAGACTTCACTCAGTAAAAAAATGGTAGACTGTTAACTTACGTTTCAAGTCTCGGTGGATGTTTTAGGCACGGAGCAGGTAAAGCAGCAGAGAACACACAGGGTGCAGATGTTGGTTTCGGTTGTTTGACAGGCTGCGTCATGAATAAGCCTGCGTTTGGCTCACCTGCTGCTGTGATAACGGATCGCAGGTGGAAACCTGAGCTGTGTGAGTGTGTCAGAGTGCGGGGAGGCAGGTGCAAAGAAATGTAAATGCTCAGTATTTATAAAGCGTCTTTTTGACCCATTTCTGCATTCACCAGTCACACACATTCATACACTGAGCCTAAGTGCTCAAACAGAAACTAACATTCACACACCGGTGGAACAGCCACCAGAGGACAAGGACACTTCGACATGCAGCCTGGGGGAGCTGGGATTGAACAGCAGACCTCCCGATTGACAGCCAACCCGCTCTACCTCCTGAGCCACAGCCGCCAGGACAGCGTGCTTAAAAACAATAATAAGAATGTTGGTGGTCATTAAAAGTTGCTTTCACACAGTGGTTTAATGTGAAAATTTGAGATTTTATTTGATGCTGGCTCAGCGACGGTGATCACTGACTACAAGTAAATTTAACCACCTTTCCACACTTTCCCTGTGGAACTGAATCTTCCATGCTCTGCTCAGATGAGAAGCAGTTGGAGTCTCTCATGTTTAAGTTTCCTTCCTTGTCGTTGTCATGTCGGTCGCAGCTGTGTTTTTTTCCTGTGTCATCCCTCAGGAGCTTTCTACTTCCTTCCTGTAACCCACATCTTCTGCCCACGTACGGTTTCCGGCAAGGAAGGGTAGAGGAGGTCTGTGATCAACATGGGAGGGAAGATCCTGAATAAACCCATGATGCACTGCAAACCCTGTTTCACAACATGTGTCATACAGGGAGGAATCCCACCAGTCATTTCTGCCAAAGTCAGGTGTTTCATCACAGAGTACGGTCTAGACCTGCTCGTTGATGAAAAGCGCTCAGAGTTAACTGTTGTTGTGATTTGGTGCTATATAAATAAAATTGAATTGAATTGAATTGTTTGAGATCACAGAGAGGAGATTTAAGTGAACAGTGTCTCAGCAGTTTATCCTTTTCTCTCTATCTCTTTTTAACACATACCCCTCCTCCAAATCTCTCCCCCTTCCCCTTTTCTTCCCCGCCTGTCTCCCTCTGCATTACTGCCACACTTTGTCTACCTGCCATAGCTTTGATCATCTCACAGACAGAGGAATAAATGACAGAGGGTGAAGATAAAGAGAAGACTGTCCTTCAAAATAAAATCTTCCCCATTTTAGTGTGCACGGGTAGGTTGCCATAGCAACAGTTAGGCTTTTCCCAAGAGGCGCAGCTTTTGTTTTTTTATTTCTTGTGCACATGACTGCTTATCGCTGGGTTTCCTGTTAATAACAGTTTATGAGAAAGGATGAAAAACAAATAGAAGTGGCTGCTTTACTACAGGCTGACACCGGCAGGCGTGCACTTGCTAACGAGGCAGGGTAGTTCTCTCCCGGCCCAGCTCACACAGTGCATTAATTGCAATCTGTAACCAATTTGATTCGCCACATCGTTTTTTTTTAATTAACTGCTTGAACAGCTTGAGATCAGCAGTAAGCCCACCAGCATCATCTGAAGTCATTTACAATCAGCATGCCTCCATCTTGAAACTTTTAATTAGGTAGCATAGTTACTCTCCCTCAGCTCCCCCCATGCAGGGACTGTCTCTAAATGTAAAGAAATAGAAAGCTTTTCCATTAAATGAAACATAATGAAGCGCATATTAATTTCACATCATGTCCTATCATTGAGTCAAGGGTCTTAGTAACCTTCCATTCAAATGACAATAAACATTGTTATTGTCTAGCTAACCTGAAGCCAAGGTACAAATCCAGCCGGTAATTTTCCAAATAAATGGTCTTCCTATAGAATTAGTTCAGTGAACCTGCTGATGGGTTTTCATTTCAAATGCTACAAACCCGCCTGACTGGATTTCATAGATCAGTCACTGTTTAACCTTGTGAAGCGTTAGCTGCAGTTAAGGAGCAACCCCACTGATTTTATATACACCAACGTGTGTTTACAGGTGTTGGGGAGGACTACTGCTGTATAAAACCTTTAGTGTCTCAGAAAGAGCTGCGCAAAACCTGACCAGCGTTGGCTGGGTACTACAAGAAGAAGAGAACAAAAGAATCTGTTGGTGTGGCGTCAGAAAGAGGTGAGCTTAAAAAACAAACAAATAAAAAAACAACAAAAGAAAGAGGTGAGCTCACAGACTGCCAGGTGGCATTCAGGTAGCAAGAGCCACCAGAGCGACACTTAGCTGCCAGCAGTCGGAGTCATCTGAAGGAAAGCTCAGTTCTCCAGGCTTAACTGCAATAGATGCGCACAGTACGAACAAGACACGACCGATGTGCAAACTCACTGACTAAACTGCTCTATGCATGAGGACGGCTTCTTTTAGAGATTAAGTGGTGTTTGAGTTGTATTATTTACTGTTTTGAACCGAGTTACCTTGAACAGTTTTTTCTCTGTAATCTATAAATGAGCTGTTGCCGGATACTTTTTTGTTGGACTGAAAAGAAAGGGAAGTGAGCAAAGTGTTAATATCCAAAGAGCACAGAGTCTTTAGTTTGTTGTTGCTTTGTTTTGTTAATATTTGTGGCCCCATTTAGTTGAAATGTTGCTGGTAATAGATGTCCTTGATGAAAATAGACACTGATTTCTGTGTGTAGTATTTTAAGGTTTTCCTTTATGTTTGAGCTGTGATGTGTGACACTGGAGTGACACAACAACTTCTTGTCAGGTTAAACTCTGTCTGGTGTGAGTTTCCCTAGAAAGAACATGAAAATGGCGACCATAATATTTAAACTACATTATCATGAAATGTTATGTTGAATAAATAATAACTGATATCTAGAGATTATGTGTCTCAGTCTGGGCACTCGTCACATTTAAAACCTCTTTTGCATCACTTGCAGCACGATAACATAACCATGATGAAACAGCAGCACAGTCTTCACTGAGGTTGTCTGAGTGGAGACACTGCTGTGACATCCACTGAGAGGACACATTTCCATCTAGATGGCAGCTTGTTGTTTTTGTTCCATGTTAGAGAATCACACCACACGTTAGCAGCCATACACACATCTAGGTCGTTACCACAGCAACCAATGCAGACGAGATGGCTGAAAAACCAAATGGAACGGCAGTCTGATCACAGTCCTGCACTACACACTGGAGGTGTAGACTCATGGGTAGGCATGGGCGTTTCCCAGGCAGAAAGGGTCTCATGAAAGATGCTCATGAGTTGCATTATGGGAAATGCAGTATTGAGTGTTTCCTTTGAGATTTTGGAGAGGTCTGTGAGTGCACTAAGGGCAACAAACACTGCTGTTTGTACTTTTTTGTTTCAGTTTGTTTTTACAGGATATTCTGCAAGTGAAGTGAAAAAAACTTGTCGGTGTTTGAAATGAATAATGGAAAGAACCATAATCTAGGCAGCTGCTTTAAACTTACAGGCTGGGCTGTGATTTGAGATTTTAGAAAAATTGCCTGGTGTGCTTTTTTCTGGTCTACAACTGACCCACTTGGTGGGTACAGGCAGTTCAGCAAGGGATCATTTATTGACTTGTAACTAATTAGTCTGCAGTATTTAAATGCACATCTGTGCTTTCAGTCTGGAGCTGACCTCAGTACACCACCAAAGTTGCCAAAATGCGCATGTGAGTGTGCACACATTTGTGCACTTATCTGGCTGTCTTTGTGTGTATGTGGAAGTGTAATGGCATTATCAGACTAACAGCTTTGCCTGGTTTTAACAATGCTGGATTCATCCCCCAGAGCTCCAGTAGCAGTTCCAGTACTTGATAGTGACAACGTGCAGCTGATACAGATCCATTTAACTTTAGGAACCAGAAAAATCATTGCAAAGTGAAGAAGTGAAAACGCAGCAGTTCTTGTTTATCACTACAGGCTTCTGAGTAAATCATCTGTCTCTGACACAACCAAGGTTCAGCCCGTTGAAGTCCCGCAGCGAGCTTACCTGACACAATGAGAAACAGGGAGTGTATCTGCAGCAGCCCGAGGTGAAACATGCACAAAGATGAATGCATCTTGTTCACTGTATTAAGACCTGTGTTAATAAACATTTAATTAGCATCTTCTTTGCATAAAACGTGAGACCAGTTAATAAAACATGAAGGAAAAACATTCAGACCAGCTTTCTTCCTCCTTATTCATGAATTAAGGATTTATCGGGAAAATTATTTTTCCAATCCATCACTGATGCAGCCTGTGAGAGTCTTCCTTTATATAATTACTTCCCACTCTTTCCACAACATTTCTCTTTCGCTGCTCCCTCTCATGCACAAGATGCCAGATATCACATCTCTTCCTGTACGTGTCATGTCTGAATAAAGCTGTAAGGAACATTTACAAACAGGAACAAACACTTATGTTTGAATTACAAAAGCCGTCACTTTGGCAGCAATGTTACACATCCCATATCGTTTAACTGCAGCACCTTGACAACCACTCCCTAAACGTTCTACACTCAAAGATCTGGTTTCAGACTCGAAACTTGTGTGTTCTGGCTGCTTTGGAATTAACTGAAGAAAAATTGACAATGAGAGATACAATGAAACTCAAACTTCATCTGAAGAAAATACAAAGAAAAAGAAGTTCTACCCACACAGTTTCATTGACAGGTGATGTCTGGGAAGTGCCGAGCAGAAACACTGCTGAGCTGAGCACTAAAGTAACAGAGGGACTTGTACATTACTGTTAGATGAGATTTGCAGTACAGCAGTCCTCCTTTTCTCTGCGGTGCTTCAGACCACCACAGTATACTGTGCATGACATTTACACGCTCTCTTAGCTATAATACCTCAGGGCAGAGCTCTTCTTCACCATGTGAACATGCAGCACGCTCCAGCGTGAACACATACGGCCTCTCTGGCTGACAGACCCACAGCTCAGCTCCTCTCAGCCAACTGAATCTCCACCTTGTTTCCAGCAGCAGCTGTAGACATCCTGCCGCCGGGTAGCTCCAAGATTAGATGAAGCTCCAACTGGTCTAATGGCCCGGACAGGATTAGGTGAATGTGCTACCCAAACAGAGCAGGGCTGCAGAGGGTCGCTCAACCAAGACTCTGAGTCTGAGCTTACCTCTGGATCAATAGACCAGAGGAAGAGATGGCATCCCTCAGCCTCCAGAGAGCAAATGGAGCAAATGGCTGCTCTCTCTGCTAATCTTATCTCTACTGTGCACACATAAACAGACTTTGTGCTATCTGTATTAAAGCACCGTCACTAGACGCGGCCTGTATGGTGAGAAGTAGCAACGCAGCATACTAATGCTGCCACAACCTGGAGCAGCAAAATGACCTGCTGCTGTCACCAGTTCTTCTTTTAGCTCTTTTTGCTGCTGTTGGCCACATTACTGTGAATGTTGCCATTTACATATTTTACACAAGATGGAAATGGCAAAACAGTCCATCCCAGATGTTCCTGCGTCCGTACTGGTGCTGATGAAGTGAATTAGGAGGCTGAATCTGGCATCGCAGGGTCCAGGTCCTGTAATGAGAGAGCTGAGGCTAAATCATTTGTGGCTGGCAGTTGGCATAGGCTGTTGTGAACAGTTGGCGTTTCTCTTATCTGCTTTTAAACGGCAAACAACTCACTCTGGGCCCCACCACCCTGGTTTGGCTTGACTGTCTTTTTGTGTGTCTGTTATTTGGGTGTGTATGTGCATTTGTTCAGCTGACAGATGCTGAAGAAGTGAGCACACTGCCACTGTAGCAACACAAGTGTGCTGTCATGTGAAAGAGGAGAGAATAGAGCAGCTATTTCTGTGTATTTCTGTCTCTTAAAGCGTTCACATTCACATATTTGTGTTGCCTCCTATTTAACCCTTTGAATCCTAGCCAGTTACCCTTTATTTACTAAGTCACATGCCTCCAGCTCGGCATGCATTATAATATTATTTTGGCCTGATATTATTTTGGCCTGATATAAAAAGCTGATATATTTATAGGAATGTTTGAGGAACCAATCAGTTCCATGGATATAAGAAGAACTAGGGTTGGGCGATGTCTACATTGAAACATTGGGATGGACGATGGCATTGGCGGGGGTGGGTTGGGGGGTGTGACTAGCGGTCGTCTTATGTTATGTGCATGTGTTAACGGATCGCAGGTGGAAAAATTGGAAAAAAGACGAGTTCTGTGTCTTTTAGATCACTTTATAAAACGTACTGCTGATAGGGGGGTGGATACAAAGAGAGGCGGGGCAAGCCGGTGTGTTTACCTGAGGTGTAGGCCTCTTGTGTGTCTGAGTGTCTGAGTGTGGGGAGAAGAGAATTCCGAGGAAGGTGCATCATCTATCGGCCAAACCAGAACCATGTTGATTTTATGATTTAGTATTGAATTGGTTTTCTTTTTATCAATTTGGGATCATGTTTTAGCATTACAGTTCCCATCACACTTTGGGTGATGTAAAACAGGAAGCGTAATGTTGCCATGGAGTCTGGGCCCCTTTTTCTTAGACTACAGAACCATCCAGGTTGTAGGCAGAAGTAAACAAGGCAGCATAACCATATCTGACGTTATCTTGACTTTACTGCACTATGAAAACTAGCAGTTCCTGTCTTTTTTGCTACACAGTGTAAACAGATATTGGGACGCTAACCTCAGAAGATTTGTTGCTGTGTGCTATGGGTTAAGAGCAGTAGTGTAGTAGTGCTTTTACATGAACAGAATTGGCTCTTCATTGTATGACTGTGTGAGGGCCCTGTGGTAATCGCTGACTTAAGGTCATCTTTAACCACCTTTAGAAAAACAATACACAAAAATACACCTACACAAACGCATACTAGCACACAACACACCTTCTTGTTCTGATGAACAGATGCACAAACATCTTTATGAGTTTTCATCTGAGAGACTGAAGCAGCTGAAGCCATTGTGAAGGTAATCAGGAGCAGCATTGTGCATGATGCAGGAGCCATGGAGACAGGACGGAAATAGATACAGGCGCTTCGGAAAAAGCAAAATTTGCCGTGCTGAAAAAAACAAAGCTGAATGCATGGATATGACGTGCCTGCACCAAAGATTATTCTTGGTTACATAAGGACCATGTATGTTCCACTGTACTGTATTGTGTCCCTGCAGCACAGCCCCCTCCCTGGCTCAACCACTCGGATATTCAGGGCATAGTGGTTCTGCTCCCTTTCACTGACTGCTGTGTAGGAGTCAAATTAGAGTGAGCTGATCCAGCGTGGCAGCACTGTGAAGGCTTGAGAGGAGAAAAGAGGAGCGGAGGAAGAAGTGTCAGGAAAGGCAGGAAAGATGGAGGACAGGCATAAAGAGAAGGGGGAGTAACAGTGAGGAGGAGAAGTAGGCTAAGTTAATGGATGGAGGACTATACAGGGAGGAGATAATAATGAGAGGGGGCCAGCTTAATGAGGGGGGTGAAAAAAGACTGGGTAGCAAAGCTAGCGGGTTATATGGAGCACAAGCTCTATTACAGAGGGGAGTTGGGGACATCATAATCCCTGTGGTCTTATAAGTAATTACTCTGTGATAGAGAGAGGATGGTGAGACCTATCTACTGTCAGCAGAACTGGAATGAAATCCCCGTTCTTTTACTGCACCGCGCTTTTATGTGTGTGAGTGTGTGTTTGCTGTACTTCTACCCTTTTAAGATTCGAGTGGTTGAGTGAGCGCATTTGTGCATAGTGAGGGCACTTTTTTCTCAAGCTTCACTTTTATCAGAGCGTTAGCTCAGTCTTAGGACGAGTGCTTGTATTGAGGTCTGGACAGTGATTCTGTAGGCACGCTGGCTTTTATTTACCTGTTGTACAGACACACAGTAACCACAGTCTGCTATGAACATATGCTATGAACACCAGCATGATGTGTCCCTGTAGACCACTGGCTCCAGAACTGCATGCTAAAGTGTTAGCATGCACTGTGCTGAGTAAAAGTAGGCTGCTAGGACTATCCAAACTAACTCGACTGACCTGAGGCAAATGTTTATGACTGTTGTCGTTATTAGCTATAGATATTATTAGCTGTTCGAGCCAGGCCTATTTTTAGACCTGCAGAGCAGCCAAGAATTCATAAGAAATGTGGTGGTTTTTAGCTGCACACAGTGTCCAACCAGTCACGTTAGCTCTCTGTCCAAAAACAGGAAGTCGTCCCTGCTAGAAACAAATACAAGCACATTTTACCCGTATCATCTTCACAAATCTCTCATAGAAAACTACCTCACAAGTTCAACTTCACTTTTATAAGAACCTGCGCCAGTCAGCTATTTGATGTTATTACTGACATCTTCAACATCTCAGGAGAAGGTTCCCACCTGCTTCAAGACAGCCACCATCGTCCCTGTACCTGTTTGCTTTCAGAACCAACAGATTGACAGAGAAACTGATTAGCAAACTCAGCACTCTGGGCTTCAGTGCCACACTCTGCAACTGGATATTGGACTTCCTCACAAACAGACGTCATTTCTCAAGATTTCTGGAGCTTTGGTGCTGTGGTTGAGGTGGGTCGTGCGGTCATGGGGTTTATGTTATTTGACTAAAAACCCTACACATAACTTTAGACAATGATCATTGAATATTACACAAATGTGCTCACTGATGAAGTAAGAACAATGTCCTGAAGTCATTCTTCACATTTGTGAGCGATCGCACTGTGCTATAAAAAATAAGATTCACAAACTAACTCTGGTCAAACAGGCTTGAAGTGAAGAGATCTGAACGGACATTTGCTCATCCTCCCAAAGTCAGGGTGAAGCCACTAACCAGCTGTAGGGGTGGGTATCTTTATCTAATCCATACTCTTACAAGCCGGGTTCTTTACTAATACCCTTACCAGTTCTTTTTCATTCAAAATATATATTTTTTTAAGATTATCATTTAAAAAAATAATAAATTGAGAACAGGATTAGAAATGATTTATTTTATAATATCAATGTTGTTTTTAAAGCAACAGAAATATCTCTATATAAACTCAATTCAGTCAGGACAACTCTCATCAAAGAACTGATATTGCGGCATTGTAGTTATGTTTGGCGGTTTGGCTCTGTTCTGGGATCTCCCTGAACTTCCACACTCCTATGTGGAAAAGCCATAAGGCAGCGAGAGCACCTCTGTAAGTACAAACATAATACTTGCAATAAAACCTCACAAGTAAAAAGACAATACTTTATCAATACATCTGTTCAACAAGCAAAAACATGTAGAAGGTGTTATTTAATCTGCTATCCACAGTCCTCATCCTCTATATTATAAAAGCACACCGCGCTAATGCTAGCTTGGCAATTAGCTAAATGTACAACGAGCTAAATTGAAAGCTATCTGTAGTCTAACCGTTCAGCTTAGTTTGCCATGTAGCTTTAAATTTGGCACATTGTTACCTGCAGTGAATCACAGCAGAGAGAGAGAGGAGTAGGAGGACTGATGCCATATTGCAATAGAGCTGTCCTCTTTTGAAACAATGAAAAACATCCGAACCTTGTCAACGTTTGTTTGGCTCTAGCTGCCTGCACTGCGTCTGCGTGGCTCTAAACAACAAAAACTGGAAAACCTATTTTAATTAACTCCTCCGAAGCCGCAAGTCCGATCGCCACCAAACTTGGCACGGATGATCTCTGGACCGAGCCGAAGAAAGTCTGTAGAGGAAATTTTGATCCGCTAAAAAACGGCCGAATTACAGGCCAACTAATTTTAGCGCAAACGCTAAAAACAGGATGTCCTGTCACATCTTACGTTTGCAATGGCCGATCAACACCAAACTTGGGGACCTTATCTGGGACACCCTCCCGAAGGCCTTTGTAAAATTTTGCGTAAATTGGCCTCTAGGTGGTGCTATTAATCGGAAATCAAATGACACTCCCATAGACATACACTCATTACTTACATACAATCATACACACAACTCCGTAACCGCAAGCCCCTTTCATTTATAACTCAGCTCATTTATTCTCCACAGGTCCCCAGAGCCGCAGCGGGACGCCCGGGCCAACTCGCGCGCCCTCCGTGGGGCCAGGGGGGGCGGCTTGCGCCGGGAGGCTTGGGCCCCGCTTATAACTGCTTGCAGTTCTAGTATAGTGTATGTTTTTATTGTAACACAAGCTCCTAATTCCACAATTCAGTATGTACAAATAATACAAATGTACACCTTCTACTAATGTAAACAATACATGAATGTCACTCACTGTAGTAAAACGAAATGGTACAAAGTATGTGCCACCAATCCTCATTCAAACTGTGACTTTGTGAGGCAATGCTGCAAATTCAAAATGTGAAATGTGAATCACCTTGTCTGGAAGAGATGGCCCATCATCCCAAAAGCACTGACTGCCAGACATTCATCCATCATCCATACATACATCATTGACATCCATCTTTAACTTCCTCTAACTTTGACAGGAAGCTCCATCCTTTCTTATGAGCCAATAAGCAGGCTAATGTTACACTGAGGACAGCATCGATTTAACATAATCGCTGCACACTGTGCATAGCAATTGACGAAAATGGTAATGGTAATGGAGTGT